TAGGTATCACTTCCCATATTTTTCTTTGGAGATCTAGCACTGTAGAGGATAATAATCCTTTTCTATTATGTATACAGTTAGGGCCGATAGCATGAACAAAGGAATTGAATGGTCCAACGTGGAATACTTTTCTCAGACATAGATATAAAATAGGGATTTTTTTTTTCATTTAAACTTTTCAACCAGGAATAAAAAGTCTTCATTAAAATAACCAATATAGTTAATTAATTTACTTAGAAAGGCCAAAAGTTGGATCACTAGTAATGCCTAATATTTCAAAAAATCAAATAACATTCATTTCTACCTAATTCTGTCTATTTGTGGAATTAATTTTTGATTGTACCTCATTTATGATGTATCTAACATCAAAGAGGATATTATCATTTTTTCTTGGCTTTTAACTTCAGACTCTTATCCAGAGTCAGTTAAAGAACAACTGCAAATTCTGAGAATAAATGTCAGTTTCCTCCCACTGCAGCTATAACACAATGTATCAGTTTGCTAGGACTGCTGAACCAAAGGATCACAAACTTAAAAACTAAGCATTTTCTGTTATCACCATTCCTGAAGTTAGATGTCTACAGTCTAGGTATTATTAGCAGGGCCATATTCCCTCTTAAAGAACTGGGGGAGGTTCTTTTCAAGCCCCCACCTCCAGCTTCCATTGCTGTGCTGGCAATCTGACTTACCTTGTCCTGTGGAAATATGATCTTGATATCTGCCTTCATCTTCACATAATGTACTTCTCGTGTGTGTATGTGTGTGTGTGTGTGTGTGTGTATCCATCTTTTCCAAGTGTCTTATTTTTATAAGGACAGCAGTCATACTAGATCCGTAGCCCAAACGATTGCAGTATGACTTCATCTTAATTACATCTATAGTGACCCTATTTCACCTATTAAATGGCACAGTGGTAAAGAATCTGCTTGTCAATACAGGAGGTGAGAGAGATGCAGGTTGGATCCCTGAATCAGAAAGATCCCTCAGAGTAGGAAATGGCAATCCACTCCAGTATTCATACCTGGAGAATCCTATGGACAGAGGAGCCTGGTGAGTTAAACAAAGTCCATGGGGTCACAAAGAGTCAGACATGACTGAGCATTCATGCAGGCCAGATACAGATGGAGAGAGACTGGGTAAAGTGAACCATGATAAATAAACTGCTGCCTGGTAAGCAAGCTCCTTGCCCAGGTGAGCAATCTATTGTGAAAAAAAGAGAGCTGATGACTAAGACAAAAAACTGTCTCAGTTCATTTTCTGAAATGTTATGAAGGAAGTAGGGGAAATATTTATGTAGTTCAGTTTTATATGGTTCCCAGGTGGTGCTAGTTGTAAAGAATCTGCCTGCCAACTCAGGAGAGGCAACAGCATGGATTTGATTCCTGGGTTGGAAGATTTCCCCTGGAGTAGGAAATGGCACCCCACTCCAGTATTCTTGCCTGGAAAATTCCATGGACAGAGGAGCCTGGCTGGCTATGGTCTGTAGTGTCTCAAAGAGACACGATGGAGCATCAGCATTTTCACCATTTAAGCAACTAGAGTTTAAAAATGTAACATATGAACTTAGAGGGAGAAATCATTCAACTCATAACATACACACTAAAGCAGTCTATGTTTTTATTCTTTATATATTAAAAAAACAAAAACAAAAACAAAACAAAACTTCCAAAAGTAACAATAGTTCTTTAAATGCTCCCATCAAACCTCCAAATAAATAAGAAAATAAAAGTATATGTTTTCCTTTTGGTCTAAAACCTCTTGGTAGGGAATGTTTGAACAATTGAGTAAACTCAGGATTTATTTTTGACCCCTGCTATTTAATTCTACTCTGGATGTGTTCAGGGCAGGCTGACTTTTGGTTGAGCTATGCTGTACATATACCAATGTTCCCTCAACCAGCAATCTGTTTACCCAAAGTGGCAGCCTGCTACCTTCAGATGCCACCAAAGAACAATGATAGAGGACATTTACTGTTCTTTGCTTTATGCACAACTAGGATTGCCCGAAACCCATGAGACCAACTGTTCCGAGGTGTCTGTGGTTGATAATTGCCTTATTTTTTGAATTAGGGTAGAGAGTTAGTATGTTTTCTTTCAGTCCTCTGGATCTCTTTTCTGCTCTGCCCACTTCTTTTTTTTTTGGTACTTTCAACCATCACTTATTCAACACCACCAGGCTGCTTTTCTTTCTTATTTCTCCTTTTCTCATTGTTCTCTCACCTGTCATTCCATTCATCTGTCTCAGCCTTCACCTCACAAGCCTGAGCTTTTAAAGACAGCTCAAGCCGAGCAGAACATTCTTTTTCTTTCCTGTGGTGGTCTAGTCTATCACAGTAAATCAGGTATAATCTTGAAAAATTTGTCTTAACCAGTTTTTTCAATGGAATGGTTCCTTTGGGGCTGCTTTTAAGACATTAACATTATTTAGACCTAAATCAGTATTGTAAGGCCACAGCAAGTTTTAAAACCTGAAAATTTTGCAAGTGTGTTTTCTTAAAAGATAGCCATTATTTTACTGCTTTCTATCTATACTTCTTTTTTTTTTCCTGACTCCTAGTATTAAATAATTCCTATATGCCCAGTATGATCACCATTTTTCCTATAAGATCAAAGATTTGGCTGTTATAATTTTGCAATATTTTAGACACAGTATGGGCTTTTTACCTTTTTAGAGTCTGACCCAGGTACTTACTATAGATTTTAATTTCTGCAATTTAAGGAGGTACTAAATGAAAATACCTCCCTCCTATACCAATGTTTTGAATAAATACCTACCTACTGGTTTTCTCTGACCAATTTGGAGAGATGAATATAGGTACTGAGCACATGTTGAAACTCACAGCAAAAGTCTTTAATGTTCCACAGTAGTAATTATACTTAATGATGGAAGATATCATCTACATGTGACTAACTCTGGAAAGTTTATCAAGCCGGACACTGTAGTGCTATAGTAAAAAAAAAAATTATATATATATATGTATATATATATCTTACACATCCAAGTCCAAATAGGGCTAAGAATGGACTAGCAGTGAAGCAAGAAGATATATTTTTTAACCTTTAAAATTTGAGATCATCATAGATTCACATGCTGTCATGAGAAATAGATTTCTTATATCTTTACCCATTTTACCCAATGCTATCATCCTGCAAAACTATTAAGCAATATCATAACCAGGTTATTGAAATGATTTACCAATCTTACTTACATTTCCCTAGTTTTACCTGTGTGTTATGCATATATTTAGTTCTTGTATTTCCGTAATCAAAATAATGAACAGTAGCAGCTTTATCAGGATCCCTCATGTTTCCCTTTTATAACCAAACCCACACCTTTCCACTCCTTCCCCCTCAGATTCTAGCAACTACTAATCTGTCATTCATTTCTAAAATTGCATCACTTCAAGAATGTTAAATAAAAGGAATCATACAGTAAATAGCCTTTGGGGGTTGTCTTTTTCCGCCCTCTAGGCATAATTTCCTGAAGATTTATCCAAGTTGATTTTTATATCAATATTCTGTTCTTTGTTATTGCTGAGTAGTATTCCTCAATCATATTGTAGCATAGTTTGTTTAATCATTTTCCCATTGAAGGATATCTGAGCTGTGTTCCAGTCTGGTTCTACTAAGAATAATATCTCTGAATATTTGTAAAACAGGTTTTTATGTGAACATATATTTTCATGACCTTAGCATAAATGCCCAAGCATACAATTTGTTGCTGCTACATGGTAAATGTATGTTTATTTAAGAATTTGCTAAATTTACATTTCCACCAGCTTTGTGTGAGTGGCCTAATTTCTCACTAGAATTTGGTGTCACTATTATGTTTTATTATCCACAATTAAAAGTTTCTTTTATGTATATAGCAGTCTTTTTCTTCTGAGTGTGCATAATTGCTAGTTATATTTTTACTTAGCATCTCAATGTAAAAATTCTATTTAGAGGCCAAAATTGTGGCATTTTATTAAAAGTCTATATATACAGTTAACCCTCAGTATCTGATGGGAATTGGTTCCAGCACTGCCATGGACACCTGTACATGCTCAGGTCCTTTAGTTGGCCCTCAATATCCATATCCATGGTCCCATATCCAGAAATTCAACCACTGCAGATCAGAACATAGAACAGTATCAGCAGTTGGTTACATTCATGGATGTGGAACCAAATATTGTTGTTCAGTCTCTCAGTCATGTCCCACTTTTTGCAACTCCATGGACTGAAGCACTCCAGGCTTCCCTATCCTTCACTGTCTCCTGGAGTTTGCTCAAACTCATGTCCATTGAGTCAATGATGCTATCTAACCATCTCATCCTCTCACCCCCTTCTCCTGCCCTCAATCATATATATGAGCAATCATATATATGAAGGGCCAACTGCATATGTATGATCTGCTAATAAGGATTGTCAGATGAACTTGGAATTCTATATTAACCAGTTCTGTCCCTTCAGAGGATCTATTTCTAGGATCCTTTGAAGGTACAGAACTAGTTTTGCTTAAAGTCGTGTCTGAATTTCAACATGGAAGTAAAAACTTTGTAGTTAAGCAGATATTAGACTCTTTATAGATGTGTTGGACGTAAATCATTGACTAAATTATTAAAATTAAAAATCGTCAGTAACCCCAGCATTGTTCAAGACTCAACTGTACACCCACAAAATACTTTTGATTTTATCCCCCTCCCCCGCCAGTTAACACCAATTTGATTCTTGAGAATTGACCCAAGACCCAACCCACCCTGATTACATGAAGGTTAAAACAGACCCTTCATAATGGTATCATCACATAAAGACTCCTATTAAAATACCTGAAACCCAATGTTCCATCCTGGGCTCTCACTTAGAACAACTGGTTGCATAGAAAGAAAGCGAGGATTATGTTTGAAGGATGATCTAAGAAATATAAGGCATTATCACTTTCCACAGATGTTTCAACATAAACATTTTTTTCAGGGTACAAATTAATCATGTGCTTAATCATTTGTTTTCCTGAATGCACAGGTACCTCTGTTCTACAGGTGACAGCTACTGATGCAGATGACCCTACCTATGGGAACAGTGCTCGAGTGGTTTACAGTATTCTCCAGGGACAACCCTACTTCTCCGTAGACCCTAAAACAGGTTAGTACTTCTATGGATAATTGATGTACAGATGCATGCTACAGAAAAGAAAGCAGTATCTTCATGTCTGTGTGCTCTTCTACATGAGACATTGTTATTTTAGAACTTTAAAAATGCCCTCAGGTTTTCCAGGACAGTGTGATTAAATATTTGAAGATAAATTAACTGTCCTCCTTAATACCTGATTATCCACCATTTATACCTATATCAGTAAAAACTTTTCATTCTTACATCTTTCTGTGACATTTAAATAAATGCTGTTTAAAACAGAGATTACATAACACTTCAGTCTTAAAGTAGTGTGTTATGTAAATGAAATTAACTGAGAATAAAGCCAAAGATATGTAAGCATTTGTTAGAAAAAAATGAATTCTTCTCTATTTCTTCTCTTTTTTGTAGCCAAAATAGTCATATCATATTATATTATGTGATGCCAAAATGGTAATGAAGGACACTCAATAATTCAGTGTAAGACTATGTTCTAGCAGCATAATCTATAAACCACAAAAACTCATAGTCTTATCAACAGTTTATGAATAGAAATTTGGCTAAAGGTAAATATAAACCCATTTTTTAAAAGTAGCCAAATGTTCAGTATGAAATGCTTCAAGTTTAATAAACAGTTTCAAGAATATACATAATCAAGAGATATAGATAGGCCAGAGAGAGGTCTAAGATGTTCCAGCAGCTTCCTGGATCCTTTCTGGTAATGTGAGAGTCATTCTGAATCTAGGTAACATGTGGGATCTTTAAGTAAAGGTCACTGCCAGATAACTAATGCAGGGGTAATATTTGGTCATAAATATCTCCTTATCATCATACAGTTACATAGCATACAACATGTTTCTCAGGGAACACTGCTCAGTAAGTGCACATTACAGTTTATTAACCACTGCCTCAGACAGTGAGGTACAGTAACTGAAGAGATGCTATGGACAAGCTTACTGCAGTGGTTAATGCCATTAGATTGCTAGGAGGATTGTCATCGTCATGTTTATGGGAAGGTGCCTTCTTTCTTCCCCTTGGGTGCTCCAACACAAACTACACTGGCCAGGAGGAGACCTCAGACACACTGTCTTAACCCTTTAAATCCCTGTAACTTAGGAAGAAAACAGTGAAGAAGGTGTAAAGACACAGATATGTAAATGAAGAATTGCACATATACACCTATGTATATATCCACATATTATGTGCATTATAATTATAAAATAAATGAGATAAATAAAAATGGGATATAATAAAAATTAATAATATAATGTGACCTAGAGTGAGCATGCAAGCACTTATGTTAAGAGTACCAAGGTATTACTAAATATTTAGAAATAAAAATGTTTACCAGCTTAGTAATCAAAATTCTAGGACAAAAATTATATATGTATATATATTTATGTTGTTCTGATGGCTACTTCAGAATTGATAGAAAATATTTTTTACTGAGATATATTTGAAGTGTAATGCTGTGTAATTAAAGGGGTACAGCATGTTGACTTAATGCATGCCTGTATTGTAATATGATTGACATGTGTGATAAACATTCTTAAGCCAACTCATTATTTGACAGTAGTGTTTCTCATTTTGTGGTAATTTCCCAATAATCATGATTGTTTTATATATAAAAGATGTGTATTTCTTACTTTAAATATGCATCTTCCTGGAGGAAAGAATCGAGGAGACTATGTTCCAGTTACCTCTTCTGAGGCTTATACACACACAAACACACATGCATGCATGTATACATGTGCCCATATACAATTTATTCAATTAACTGTCCTTTTAGGGAGCCGAATGTTTATTTATACATAAATATTTACTTAATAGAATATTGCTAGACTATAGACATCTTATATGGGTTTTAAAACTTACCACACACTTGAACTTCTTTAAAACCAAATAATAATTCTGTGTGCTTGTGTATATCTGAATATCTGCTGAATATCTGCATGTGTTGGTGTGAGTATATGCAGGTATGTATATGGGTGTGTGTGTGTGTCTGTGTGTGTATATTTACTTTGGACAAAGAAAGCAGGCCAATGTGGATAAAAAGTGACCAGTGTTGAACTCTTCTGTTGCTTGTTTTTTAGTGAAGCAAGTATGTCAAACACAAAATTCAAATAAAAATTGCATTTGGTTGTACATATTTATTATGGATTAATTAAGTCCTTCAGGAAACAAAAATAATTATCTGAGATATAAATAGGCTGCTATTAAGGTTCTGCTCTATTGAAATAATCTTTGCTCCTATAATTTTTGCTCTTTTATTTAAGCAAAATGATTTATTGAATGAAATGTATGCCTCCATATTGATATGTTTTAATTTCAATATTGTATTGGCTGAAGCATCAGGGAAGTCTATGGATATGTCTTCTGCTATCAAGATTGTTTAAATATGCAAATCTCTTGGACTGGTTGTCTGTACAAAGTGCTAAGAGGGATTATAAAACAAAATGCTGAGTGTTCTCTTCAAAGCTAAGATGTTTTGGTAATTTAAGCTTAAGAGATCTATTATAATGCAATTAAACATCCTCAGAACTAATGAATTTAGTGGAAATTGTGCCTTAAATAACTGGAATAAAACACATACAACATACTTAAAAGTAAGGAATTAGTTGTTATAAATGAGATGTTATATAAGAAAATTGGATGAGTAGTTACTTTAAAATGTAGTTTAATAGTAATACTTTAATTCTATCTTCTCATTTGGCGTGGCTGTGACATTTCAGGTTAGTCCATTCAAAGAAGAATAATTATAATGCAGCTGAACTTTTGTATTCAAATAGAGTTGTGAGTGCTTATGGTTAAGATCAGGACTTTGGATTGTCTTATTTCCATTGTGTTCAAAGGTATATCGGCTTCCCTGGTGACTCAGCAGATAAGCAATCTGCCTGCAATGCGGGAGACCGGAGTTAGATCCCTGGGTTGGGAAGATTCCCTGGAGAAGGGAAAGACTTACCCATACCGGTATTCTGGCCTGGAGAACTCCTTGGACTATGTAGTCCATGGGGTCACAAAGAGTCGCATACCACTGAGCGACATTTCTAGTTAGTCCTTTCAATGAAGACTAATTATAATGCAGCAGAACTTTCGTATTCAAATAAAGCTCTGAGTGCTTATGGTTAAGATTCGTGGCTCTTGAATTATTATACTATACATAATTTGTTTAATAAGGTATGCATTGTTTTCTACTGGAATCTCGTTAATCAATATGATGAAACATAAATCCTGTGAATAATTTATTGCTTCAAATAAGTTTTGTTTTTGTTATTTCATAATGCTTGCTTAATGTGGAACAACAGGAAAATACTTCTTAATGATTGATTTAACATTAACTACTGTTCGAAAGATCAGAAAACTGAAAAATTAACTGAGATGACAATGAATTGTAAAAAACATATAATATTTCTGCCCACATATATGTAGCTGTTGCTGCTGCTAAATCGCTTTAGTAATGTCTGACTCTGTGCAACCCTATGGACAGCAGCCCACCAGGCTCCTCTGTCCCCAGGATTCTCTAGGCAAGAACACTGGAGTGGGTTGCCATTTCCTTCTCCAAACATGTAGAAATTGTGTTAGGGTAGGCTTTATGAAGATGTTGTTTTTTGATTGCTAAGCCAAGTCTGACTCATTGCCACCCCATGGACTGTAGCCTGCTAGGCTCCTCTGTCCATGGGATTTCCCAGGAAACAATACTGGAGCGGGTAGCCATTTCCTTCTCCAAAGGGTCTTCCCAACCCAGATATTGAACCCATGCCTCCTGCATTTCAGGAGGATTCTTTATTGATGAGCCACCAGAGAAGCCCCATTTATGAGGATGGTGGTGGTGGTATAGTCGCTAAGTTGTGTCGGACTCTTGCAACCCCATGGAGTGTAGCCTGCCAGGATCCTTTGTCTGTGGGGTTCTCCAGGCAAGAATACTGGAGTGGGTTGCCATTTCCTTCTCCAGGGGATCTTCCCAGCCCAGGAGTTGAACCCAGGTCTACTGCATTGCAGGCAGATTCTTTACTGACTGAACTACAAGGGAAGCATTCTACTTAAACGTTTTCATTTTAATTCAGCAAAGAAAACTTTTAGAGTTACTACACCAGGAACTGTTTTAATGTTTATGAAAACTACTAACCCTAAACTGAGTATTATGAAGAAGGCAGCTGAGTAAGAAAGCCATATTAAGTCCTCAGAGAGCTAAAGTCAAGAGAAATTTTGGCTAGTGCTTGTTTATTCAGTTCAGCTCAGTTCAGTTGCTCAGTTGTATCCGACTCTTTGCAACCGCATGGACTGCAGCACGCCAGGCCTCCCTGTCCATCACCAACTCCCAGAGTTTTCTCAAACTCATGTCCACTGAGTCAGTGATGCCATCCAACCATCTCATCCTCTGTCGTCCCCTTCTCCTCCCACCTTCAATCTTTCCCAGTTCAGGGTCTTTTCAAATGAGTCAGCTCTTCACATCAGATGGCCAAAGGATCGAAGTTTCAGCTTCAGCATCAGTCCTTCCAATAAATATTCAGGACTTATTTCCTTTAGGATGGACAGGCTGGATCTCCTTGCTGTTCATGNCAGCCTTGACATACTCCTTTCCCTATTTGGAGCCAGTCTGTTGTTCCATGTTCAGTTCTAACTGTTGCTTCCTAACCTGCATACCGATTTCTCAGGAGGCAGGTCAGGTGGTCTTGTATTCCCATCTCTTGAAGAATTTTCAGTTTGTTGTGATCCACACAGTCAAAGGCTTTGGCATAGTCAATAAAGCAGAAATAAATGTTTTTCTGAAACTCTCTTGTTTTATCGATGATCCAGAGGATGTTGGCAATTTGATCTCTGGTTCCTCTGCCTTTTCTAATTCCAGCTTGAACATCTGGAAGTTCACAGTTCACATACTGTTGAAGCCTGGCTTGCAAAACTTTGAGCATTACTTTACTAGCGTGTAAAATGAATGCCATCATGTGGTAGTTTGAACATTCTTTGGCATTGCCTTTCTTAGAGATTGGAATGAAAACTGACCTTTTCCAGTCCTGTGGCCACTGCTGAGTTTTCCAAATCTGTT